TGTCGAGAGAAAGGCAAAATCTCAGGATTTTCGAAAATAACAATTTAAATATTTTTGCTACACCTTCTTCCATTCAATTTCCTAGTGTGCCGACTGGTTTTACGTTTGCCGCGTGCCAAATATGCTGGGCACGCGTTTTTTTGCCAGGTTGCCGAACCCGGCGCTTGCTTATTGCAAAGATATAAAAATTAAATCTGAGCAATACTCTGGCATTACATTATGTCTTGTATAACTGTGCACCTTCGTTAAAATTTATTTCAGCATTATTTACATACGTTGTTTTTCTTATATCTTCACTTATTATTTAAAATTTCTACAATGTTTAACAAATCAATGTCCCCCGGAGATCAAATTAGTATTATTCTGATTTTCTTCAGAGTGGGGAAACATTGGGTGGCCAAGTCAAATCCTCTGGAAAACCCAGTTCCACATTTTTGTTTCCCATCCATCTGCGATGCATAGCCACATTGTGAAACACTCTGTGTGAACACTGCTTCTTAAACAAATGAAATATGTCAATTATATTTATTTTTCTAGCACGCACCTCCAGCATCCCAACTGTTTTTTTGCCGGTGACAGGCTTAATGTCATTTAGCTGTGATAAACTAATAAATGTTAGCCAGGCTTAAAAACGTTGACGGCGGAGGGCCGAGGTAGCTGAAAACGTGCGCCGCTGTAGGTGAGCCTATTGTAAAGCTAAAACCCACCACTACAAAAAACTCAACCCTTAAAGTATCCAGGAAATGAAAACGCGTTATAGAGAACTGTGCTTCAACCAGCTGGAAGGTAAAATAAAAAAAAATTATTATTTTTTGTGTTTAAAAGAAAAAACTCCCTTGATTTTAAGAATCTTTTTACTGTTGTCCGTTGTTTCAGTAAAAATTAATGGAAAGTGAAGGTGGATTGTTGGTAAAAACTTGCCTACTCACTTGCCGTCGAAGCGCGACGTAGACGTTGTGTGGTACGAGTGGAATGCTGTTCTTGGCTTGGGGTTGTATTGTTGTTTACTTTAATAAAAAAAAAAAAAGATTTGATTACTATTACAAAAAGCATGTTAAATAAAAGTTGTTTTCAACCCATCATGCATATTTCATTCATTATATATTTTTTTAAGACCATGACTAATATTGGGCCTAAAACAATACCCTTATGATCAAATAGGGAAATTATTAATTGTCGTTTCTTAAAATAACGTTAAACTAAAGGAACCAAAATTCTATTTTGTACAGCTTGAAGCTCTGGCCTTCCTTAAAAAAAAATAAAATTTAAATTAAAATGCACCAGTTGTTATTTACACAACAATTGCACTTGTTTTTGCGGAAACACAATTTGGGTAATATAATGCCACCTTATAATTTCTGACAAAAAGCTAAATCTATTATGAAACAACAAATAAAATAAAAACAAAGCCTCCCCGTGATTCTGACTACAAAAGCTATTAAAGTAGAATTTTTTAAAACGTTTTCATGAATAAAAAGCTCCACTTGCAGGCCGTCAGGACGTTGGAAAGAAATTGTTGCTGTGTGCACCACGGAACCAAAAGGAAAGCCTTCATTTAACTTGTACTAATTGGCGTTGGTATTGGGGTGGTGCGCCCGACACGCTAAATGTAACAAAAGTTCTGTGGAGCTCCACCACGCCAATGCTAGCCCCCCGTGTTTAAGGCTCGGTACGGCGAGTGCCGGTCGGGTGCATCACGAATTTTTTCTGGGTGAAGAATTTTTTTCAGGTTTGGAATCTGCGGGTTAGGCAATTCGCCGCGATGCTCAAAGTAAGTCTTGACGTAATATACGTTGGTTAGGCGAAGGTGTATAGAAGCTATTTGGGAATCCCGGGAAAGTTAAATTGTGGCTAAGCGTCCGCCTCTTGCGTCTGGAAAAAAACCGACAAACAGGCATTGGACGATGAAACTTCAAAACAGTAGGGCCGAGCCTTTGAGGTGAGGGATTGTTGGAAACTACCCAACAGCAAACTAGTGGATTGATGAATTAGAGTTTATTATTATATTTGAATGATTATTATTTATTGTAGAGTAGTTTTTTGCATGTAAATTATATTTTTAATCTAAATTTGAGGCTTGTAATGCAGACAATGGACGTATTCACTGAAAACATACTGAGAACGAACATATACATGCAGAATTTACCATTTTAAGCCTCACGTTATAAAAAACAAAAACTAAACTGTGTGTCGATATTAATAACGTATTGAACCGGGACTCTATATTTGCAAGAGTACTTTGGTTTAGAAAAAAAAATCTGTATCACTGCCTGCGTTTGGGGGGGGGGTTTCATCTCGCAACAATTTCGCTTGGGGCCCAAGTGCAGGGAACGGCCCTTGCTCCATCCACTTGGCTGGTTTGGCTATTTCAAGAATATTTGCAATCCATAAAGTCAGCAGCATTTTAGGATACCTAACAACAGCCAGCCGCATACAGAAATGAACATGTAAGAAAAGCCGCAAACACAATTTCAAGGATCGTAGTAAAACATTGCGTGCACGTCCGTGCCAGCCAACCTCCTTTATGGTGATGGAACTCGTCATAATGTTTCTCAGTCCCTGAAATAACTTGAAAAGCAAATAGCGCAGAGGGCACTTATATACTGTATACAATAAAACAACGTAGTGACCAATCGTGCATATTTCTTAATTCAAGGTGCCAAGTATGTTTGTTCGAGCTAACAAGAACAAAAGCTTAAATATCCTGTATGCCCTCAGCCTTTTACCTGTTTGGAAGCCCGCAGGCCTGTTTTTCACGGTCTCAGGCTCAAGAATGACTATTCCCAGCAGGACTGACTATATCTTCCGCGCCCTTCTAAAGGGGTACATTGAATAATCTTTCCTTTCTCAAAGCCCCAAGTTGAGTAAACTGCTGAGTTGGATGCTGTTAGAAGAGTCAGAATCAATAAAGAATTTTTTTTTATTCTAAGTAGTAACTTCAGATTGAACATAGTAACAAAATATAAATTGTCGTGTCCAACCAAAAAAAAAAATACTTATATTGAAAACCACCCTTGAATGATGGGATAGTAGCCCAAAAGTTTTAGGAATCCAAACTATAACATATAATAAGTACCCTGTATCAAGATTGATGCAAAACAAGTGACATTTTACCTTTTTAGAGAGATTTAGCAAAAAAATAAACCACCTCTGGGGTCATTTGGGTGGATTTGGGTGGATTTGCCGTTTCTCTGAAACACATTGGTCGATTTTGGTGATTGACATCTCTTTTGAACCGTTAGAGCCAATATAATCGAAGGGGAGGTTCCTAAATCCACCTACACATTCCATTGAGGAGTGAGAGTGATGCGCACGCAGCTTGCCCAAACCGAAAGCTATGTTACGCTCTGAAAACTGAAGACTAGGCTTATTGCCATAAATATGATGATGAATCAGTAATCATTTCAAAGTGACACAGACACATTGGATTAACCTATGGATTAACCTATAGCAGCGTTTTTATCATTTTAATGCCATTGAACACAACTTTTGATCAGAAAAACAGCAAAGGTAAGACTATTTGCCGTTTTGGCTCAGTAAAGCTAGGTTGTGTGTTGTCTGTGTTTGCTTCCCCTGCCGCTGATCGCACAGTGATGATACTAATGCCTATAGAATCTGTGGAATCTCAGTTTTAATATGATATCTTGTTTGTGCAGATCCGATTAGTAATAAAGTATTTATACCGTGAGTTCTGTGCTCGCTCAGGGCTCATTTAGACGCTTCTTGTGAGACTTGTGTTTTGTTTCGGTAAAAATGGTTCGTATCGTCAGTTAGCTGAGTTTCTTCCCGTTAAGTGGGTAGGACACATTAATAGGTTGTTAAATGTTAAGAAGGGTACGAATTTCACGGCATGGCTGTCGTTGCCCCTCGGTCTGGCCGTGAGGCCCCGAAAATAATTGTATGTCCATACGGCCACCATGGCCTTTGTGCCCCTTACACTGTTAAAATCTCCAAGTTGCTTTAAAAGCGTTAGAGCAATGGTCTGGTCTCTGAACTGCATTATGCTGTGTTCATACCGGACGCTCTAATCGCTGGAGTTTCACCGCGGCTGTCAGCTGTGTTTACTCCTGTCATTCAAGGGGCGCTGGAGAGGGGGCTGGGCTTATCTCCATTTAAATCAGGGGTGGGGAACCTTTTTCCTCTCAAGGCCAAGGGCCATTTACATTTTTACAATATCCTCCGAGGGCCGTATACAAGATATTGACCTCTGCTTAAAAATACTTAAATCACAGATTCATTTGGCCTTTCTTTCATGCTGTGCAAAGAAAAAGCAACCTCTTAATCCAGATATCTTACCATGACTCGCGCATGCATGCACGTGCACGGTTGTGGCATGACCACCAAAACAGAACGATATGGACACAAGATGTGTGCAAAAGTATTAGGCGAATAGTGAAGTATATTGACGAAGTACTAAAGTACATCTGCAAGCAGGTGGTCCCGCTCAATATGGAGAAAAAGCTGAATTTGTTCAATACAAAATGAGACCGTGTGCCGCATCATGCACACACATGTAGGTGTCGACCTGTATTTACTTGTGCAGTTTGGTCTTGCGACTTCGCTGCAGGCGAAATGACACTAAATTTTGGCGCAATAGGAGTCTTTTATTTACAGACATATCATGCAGGCACGTGAGAGCGTCGTGGACCGCGTACCTTACGTCCTCGGGCGTCGTGTGCACGCAGTGTTTGAGTGTTAAATATATATATATCAATGTTGCGGAATTAGACTTGAGGAGTTTTATATAATTAATGCTCAATTTCTTGCATCCGATACCGAATACCTATGCCATTTGCTGTAACACGGTCGAACGTGTTGTAAATTATTGGTACCACCTCGAGGGATCAGGTGAGCCGTCGTGTCATTAGACGTGAATACGAGCGGTGGTCTTCCGACTGATGGACAACTTTGCAAAGAGGTAGATGATATTACGCAGGTGCATGCCATTAGGACAGTTTTACTCTGTTGTTTCGTTTTTAGAGGGATTAATAACTGCGGTTTGTCACCACGTAGCAAGGCTCATCCGAAGCTAGGGCGAAGGTTCAATACGTATTCACGGTATACGGATCGACCGGCTTGGATCGTGCTCATATTAAACGTACGATTACGTCAAAACGGACACAAATGGAAAATTGTGGTCGTTTGTTGTGATATCATGGATGAGTGCCGTGTAATAACATTCTTTTACGCTTGTCCTCAAAAATTATCAATAAATTATTTATGCAGTTAATTTGGGTCATTCGTTGTGATGTGCTTTATACTATCGTATGTCAATGCGTCGGATGCGAGCTCAATACAAGCCGGTAGGCTTGCCAGCCACGACGATATAAATGGCAAATGATAAATTGTAATCCGATATGGTCATTGTAATGAGTGTTAAAATGGAAAAATTGTCTTAATATTGGACAGTTACTCACCGTTCTCGGTTTTTGTTACAAGAAAAGTCCTCACGAGGTTTAGTTCTAACGGATGTTGATCACTAACAAACTAACGACCATCAACAGAATTCAGTAATATTACTCTATCCGTATTCAGTTATATTACTCTATCGATTCGTAATATCTCTATCGATTCAGTAATATTCTCTATCAATTCAGTTATTTACTCTTCGTTCAGTAATATTACCTCTTCAGTAATATTACTCTATGTACAAAAAGGACACCGCGTTTGTCCGAGTATAGTATGTCCTGGATACGGAGGAATAATGGCATATTTTTACTTTATGAGAGATACACTTATTAATCACAAATCATACAAGAGGTAGATGAATGAAGGAGGGTAAGTGTTTAGCTTTAGTTTAGTTCTAAGATAATTATCATTGTTATATAAGTTAAAGTCTCGTCTTCTTTGTCGGAGAGACGGTGATTTAGTAAGTCGTACGTGTCACTCGAGTATGGTAAGTTGACATACGTTGTTCATTATGAAACTTTACGGTTTTCAGACAAACCACACACAAAAAAGAAACATACACACATGTCAGAGAAATTATTACAAAAGTTGAGCTGGCAGTTTAAGCGCACTGCGCAGGCGCGCCATCGGTGTCGTCACTCCTAGAGTCGGACAGCAGTGACTTCAACTTAGTCTTTTGGTTTGCAGTCGGGCAATCGACAATCGTGTGTCTCGGTGTCGGAGGAGTATAGACAAGTCCTTTGACCTGTTTTCAATTTGTACTTGTTTGTGTATGCAGACACAGTACGCGCTTTATGTCAGCGACGAAATAAATCACCAGACATACGGCAACACACCTCACACCCTGCCTCGTCAATGTTGCAATCACTCGGCAAGCTAAAGGCTAGAGGTAAGTCCTTTTGTGCGTAAAATTTTCCACAAAAGTGGACGGCAGAACAGACGTCTGAAAGGTTTGTACTTAAGTACCAAAAATGATGGCCATAGTCATAAAACAATGAAGCCGCGTAGAAAACTCTGCACATAATGTTAAATTTAGTCCGATTTATACAATTAAACAACATCATCGAAAAGAGCGGTGTATAAATTTAGTCCCCTCCCCTTGGAGGCCGGGGACCGGGAGCTACATTAAATATTTGTGTGGCGTTTTTCTGCTCACGGACAAAGGGATCGGTTCGGTCCCGGAACTTGTGTTGTACTCCGGATTGCACGAGTAGTGGTACCAGTAGTGCACCATATACAGAGCATGTACCAGAGCAGACCTGTCCCCACGTCAAGACTTGCCTCTCGTGGTCTTGAGCAGTGAAGCCGTGAAGGTCTTAAACGTCTGGGTATTCCTCGGCATGGTGTACGACATCAAAAACGCAACGCACAGAAATCAACTTTCGGGGAATGTTTCATCATTTCATCGGACTTATTATTATTATTATTATTATCGACT